TCAATAGAACCTTAATTTTTGTTAATACAATTAAATAAGGAGAGAACGTGAGAGAGTAACGACAGAAAGAAAGGAATGGGACGCGAGCACTGAGAGTAAAAAATGGCTATTTCATAATAATTATAATTCAGTGTTATTTGTAGTGCTCCAATTATATACTTTTTGACAGAAATAACAATATCAATCATTATATTATACAGCAGATATCCAATTTTAGGTCCGGAGTCAAAATGTAAGACCAATGCCTTACGCAAAAAAACAATATATATAGATAAGATTTCGGAGACTGTAAAATATTAATACACATCTAAACGATATTTATTTTACAGTCATACCTCACAGGACATTCTACAGTTCCTGAAATCTTATTCACATTAAATTTTTTTTGCGTCGATGATTTTGCGTTTTGGCTTCAGGACTAGAATCGGACAGGCCTGTCATATAGCAATAATAAAGCGATATAAAAATGTAGTTCTTAACCATATATTATTTTGTTGTATTTACCATGCAATTATAGTCACAAATATCAAATACTTTTCTCTCAGTGCAAAAGGTATATTTAATAACACAAAATTATTTCAATACTCGAGTTTAAAATATAACAGCTCGAAGAGTTTTCACAGGGATAATATTGCGAGGACGCGATATGTGTTAGCTCCGATGGAGCTCGATTTAGGTCCTTGACGAGCGTATGCACATCACTCGATACACACTCGAGACACTATCCATCTCGAGTGTCGACGAGCTATAAATACGACCCTTCAACACCGGAGCCTAGTAGTCGAGACGCGTTCAAGTGCAGGCGGCGAACCATCATCGTCATTATCAACATCATCGTTAGCGCGACTGCTGCATCGATCGTATCGACGTCCGACGGACGGCGACGGCGTCGCAACATGGTCCGAGGAATATATCAGAGGAGGAAGAAGAGGCTCCCGCGCGTGGTCTTCTCTAATGTAATATATCCGCAAAACGCGATGACAAGGGAAATCGAGATTCCCACGCGCGTCACGAGAAACACTACGGATAACGTTCAATGATGTGCCGTAAAGGAGGTAGGTGGGAAGTGAATAAGAAGGAGAATAAATGTGATATATATATATATATATA